CACAGTTCAGCTGCCTTGTTTTTAAAGCTTTTAAAAGTTATTTGCAATGTCCAGGATTTTGATCTAGTATTTCAGAATGTGGGGATTTTTGCTCAATTCTACAGGGAACAATTACAACATTTAAAAGACATTTGGATAAGTACACAAATAGAGTTTGAGGGGTGTTGGCCAAGTGCAGGCAGGTGCAACTATTCGGTTTGGGAACATGGTCAGCAGGCACTTTTTGGACCAAAGGATCTGTTTCCATGTTGTATGATTCTGTGAGATTATGGCAAAAGAAAGTTAATCTGCACAAGTGTTAAAATCAAGAGGTATCTCTTTGCTATGCTGTATATGTACAAATGCTCTTTCAGAGATGCAGATTTGAAGCCCAAAAGATATTAACCTCATATGCCACAGCAGATGCCATACAGGTTTCAATAAATGAACAAATGAAAAAGTACAGCACAGGAACAGGCCCTTCGGCCCTCCAAGCCTGTGCCGACCATCATGCCCGAATTAATCTAAAAACAAACCTGCCATTTTTCGATTCGTATCCCCCATTCCCTCCTTATTCATGTACCCATCTAGGTGCCTCTTAAACGTCTTCAATGTCCCTGCTTCCACCACCTCTTCTGGTGGTGCATTCCAGGCTGCTACCACTTTCTGCGTGGAAAAACTTCCCTTGCACACCTCCCTTAAACTCTTCCCCCTCTGACCTTGAACTTGTGCCCCCTTGTAATTGAAACTTCAACCCTAGGAAAAAGTCTCTGACTATCCACCTTATCCGCACCTCTTGTAATTTTGTAGACCTCGATCAGGTCTCCTCTCAGCCACTGTCTTTCCAGTGAAAATAATCCTAGTCTTTTTAAACTTTCCCCATAGTCAATGCCCTGGAGACTAGGCAACATCCTGGTGAACCTTCTCTGCACTCTCTCAAAAGCTTCCACATCCTTCTGGTAGCCATCTTCTTAAATCACTGCAATGCTTCCCATGCTGTAGGGACAGTCACATTTGCTGTTAGGTAGGGAGTTCCAAGACAGGAACCCAGCAGTGATGAAGGACCAGCAATATTATTTCCATGACAAGATGGTGGAGAAAGAAAAAATACAAATAGAGAGGAACTACAAATAGAGAGGAGATCTGAGTGAAAAAACTTCTGTTAATTGATTCAAAAGACTGAATGAATAATTACTTAATAAACTTAAATTCATTGATGATATGCAATGTAACCGAGGAATCAAGATTCTCCATGCCTCAGTTATTGCAATGTACCCAAGTGTGATGTACTAGTAGCAGTGGACCAATTCTCAGTGCGCAATGCACTGCAATAAACAATCCCCCTTCCCCCATCCTACCATTAAAAAACATAAAAATATTGTTAAGGAAGGCTGCATGTACAAAAGTGAGCATATTGCCAGTAAAATCGAGTCTTGCTCTATTGTCTATGATAATACTGAAGCTTTGGAAAAATCAAAGGAGAGAATTCCCTAAGACAAGAGATCTTGGATATACGCAACCATAATTTCAAAAGGAACAGCTGTACATCAAGAAAAAAAATTTTAACACCTGTACTTGTATAGCCCATTATCACATCTTGTAGAAAAGTCTGAAGTGCTTTAATGAATTACTCTGATAAACTGATTTGAGACAAATACAACAGTCATTTGAAGTTTTAGAGTATATTTGTAGCTCGGGTTGGGATGTTCTGGTTGGTTGGCTCGCCAAGCTGGTTTGTTGTTCCACAGACATTTCATTACCCTGCTGGGTAACGAACAACAAACCAGCTCAGCGAGCCAACCAACCACAATAGTCATCTAGCACAGAGCAAGATCCAACAAGAATGAGGTATTTGACCAACCTAACATTTATAACATTGATTGAGGGTCAAATATTGACCTAACAAGGAGTTCTTTAATACCTACCTGAAACATTACAATTGGGTCTTCAAGTAAATATCTCATCAGTAATAAAATGTCTGATAATCAAAACAGTTTCAATAGCTATCCAAAAGTCACCAGCAGCATCACATGTAACTTTTACACTGACGTTTTTGTGTTTCTAGTAAAATATTCCGTTTAGATTTACCATCTGCAAGCATTTCATAAATGGATCTCTCATTGCCTAAAAGTATCCAGTTACCTGCCCAATATTTAGCAAGACCCTGGGGTTCAACAAAGATCTTTGCTACTGTAGACTAGCTTACTGGAATGTTTCATGTGTCACAAATGATTCTCTTTGTCCTCATTAGATGGATTGTGTACATTGTAAAAGAAGACACAAAAAGATTAAACTTATAGTCCGTTAGGCCAGACTGAGGCTGTAAAGCGACTGATGTTTTATTTAACAACAGATAAATGAATGTAGGATTCACGGCAAAAGACTGTATTTATCATAATTTACAAATATTATTACCTTCCACAATATATCAGAATAATAAATATGTTTTCCTTGAGTCATGTCTCAATATACATTGCATGAGTTTCACGGTTCAATCACTACTTCTGCGGTGAAAAGCTGCAACAATCAGTTTCTCTGCTGGCTACAGACTTCTTCCTTCCAAGGGAAGTTCAGCTAATGAAGTGTCATTACAAATCCTTTGATTATGCACTGAAATAAAGCCCATTCATAAAATCCCCGCTTCATCAAATCAAATTAACTCAAATTTTTCTAAATTAAACCATGCCATCATCTTCTGCCCTTGCCACAAACTCTACACGCTCATCACTGATTCATTAGAAGTCCCAGACTGAAGCAAGTTGCCTGGGATCTTGGCAACTTATTCAACTGCAAACTGAATTTCTGGTTCCATATTCTCACTGTCACAGGCTATTCCCTCTTCTGGATCATTACGTACCTCTGCGTTTCTTGCTGGAAATCTCATCAATGCCTTCGGTATTTGTAAACAGAGCAATGTCAGTGCTCATTTAACAGAAATCCCAATCTCCAAACTCTGAAAGCTCCAGCTCCACCAAAGTTCAGCTGACCACACCCTATCCACAACAGGACCAACTCAAGAATCATTACTGCCCTTGTTAACGTAGACTGCCTCCCAGACTACGATTTAAAGCCCCTATCTCAAGTTGAAATCATTTCATAACCTGGTCCCTCATCATCTCTAAATTGCTTCGATACCCCAAAAAATTCTTTTAAATTTGACAGCTTGTATATTCCTTCTCCCCTTTCACCTCACTGCTGAGCATTCTGTCACAAACTGAATTTCCAAAAAACCCATCTCTTTGACCAAGGTTTTGGTCACTTCACTTAACATTTTCTTTCTTGGTTTTAGTGGATAGCAACGGAATACACCTCTGTGAAGTACTTTGGGGGATATTTTTCTGTATTAAAGTTGCTATATAAATTCATGTAGCTCATCTTTATCCAGTATCCAGATACTTTAAAATAGCTGCAATCCAATATCCTTTACATTCTTTTATCATATTAACAGAACACCACCAGCTTTTATTTCAACAGAAACCAGTTACTAAAACATAAATATTTCCACTCCTGATTGATACCCATTCTAGCAGATTATCTATGTTTCCATCCACACAGATTGGCAATAATCAAATCATGTACTCTGTCCTGATGAATGAATTCTAGGCTAACAGTAATATAAATTGCCTCCAGCTTGCAGAAAACAAAAACTGATCTTTATTGTTTACAAACACTTCTGGTTAAAAATAATCTTAAAAGACTAGAATGTTTCATTTTGTCACATTTTACAAAATACCAAATCAATTTGTTTCCACACTGTGGTGCTGTATGGAAGAGCTCTAGTGCCACATTAACCTTGTCTACAATTCCAGAGCCAAGTCTTGTGTGTCTGCTGCCAGGCAATCTGTAATGGGAGGCAGAACTGCTGGAACTAATGTAGGAACATCTAATACTGAACACATGCTATTTTAGCATGAGCTTAGTAGTCAATGCATGGTACCCCAAGTCTAAATATTATAGTGGCCCAAAGTATGACCTCTTACCTCTCACACTAACAATCAAAATTGCCCAATGATGAAGTATCAGATGAGGTGTTACACATTACTCAGACATTATACCTGTAACAAACAGCTGAAACTAAAAGTTTGGTTTGCACATTTACTGGTGTTAAGTGAGGGCATATGACAAATCTGAAAACTGATCAATGTGAATTGTAATCAAATCTAGGAAACTGCAGTTGGAACAACTTAATCTATGAACATCAGCGTAACTCCTCCTCTTGTGGGGTGTATGTTGAACAAAATAAAAATTAAGCTATTGGGGATAATTACAAATTAGGAAGTGTTGAATCAAGTCTAAAAGAGAACCTTAATTGGGGTAATGAACTTACCTCAACCATGGTGTGTGGAATTCAACAATAAATGCATGCCTTTCAGTTCATTAGTGTTTTATACCTCAAAACCCTCATTAGCACTATGGCAATGTGCCATTGTAATCAGGCACTTTGAGAGAAGAAAATCTCCTTTCTCCAATCTTTTACAGCATTAACTGTGGTTACAGCACTGGAAATATTTTATTTGTTACATGTATGATCTACGTAGTAAAGTCAAACTGTTCTCCTTTTAGTTCCTTATTACAAAAAATCTTTGTTTAAATAGCTAAGTTAATGAGAATAATGAATAAGAATTACACAGTCACATACACACGTACACACATAGTTAGCTATGTACTGCTCAGTTTCATAAAAAAAAGGGCAGCAGTAACAAGATTACATGCATTCACTTTGATTAAAGATGCAAGGGCCTAGAATTCCAACTTTATTGCTGTCTTCAGGGTATGGTTTAATGGTAACATTAGTAACAAGCCGCCACAGCAAGCAAATTTTAAAGGACGTCGTGAAAGTGTTTATATAATAAATTGTGTATTGGAAAAGGCTGGCTGCGAAACAGATGAGCATTTTCTTATTAATTGCTTCCTTCTGTACTGCAATGTTTGAACGGATTATAACACTTTTCCCTGAAGGCACTAGGGCAGAATGACAGAAAGAAAAGAAACAACATGAAGAAATGGAAGGTTATACTTACCAGTGTTCTGAGCCAGCATTCCTCACAATGAACATGCCAACACTGGATTGATGTGAGAGGCATCGAGTAGGAGTCCTGTACAAAATAAAAAATTATAAAAATAAATTGTGAAGAATAGTTTTATTAAAAATGCTTTAAATATCATTTGTATTTAGTGACAAATTTTCACACGAGAGCTTGGAGTCCTCTAACTCATGTTTAACAGACAAGATCACCGAGGATTTTCTTTGAAGTAAGTGTTAGTTAGTTAAAGTGATGCAAAAATTGTGTCGTTAAGTAGCAACAACCACTCAAAAAATGTTAAAATCAGTGCAATGCAATAATACTTGGTTTCCTCATTTCTGCTCACCCTCCAGGATTGTAGAAATATAGATGTTTAGAAGATAGAGGAAGGATATTTGGCCCACTGATCTAGCGAGGTCTTTATTAGAGTAAACCAAAACTAATCTCAGTGACTTGCTTTGTCTCCATAATTTATATCAATGACAACTTGTACTTGTATAGTCCATTTAATTTATTAAATTGTTACAAGGTGCCTCACAGGTTTTTATCAAATAAAACTTGACACTGAGCTATATAATATGACGTTATGGCAGGTCATCAAAGGGGTTTGTTTTAAACAGTATCTTATTTCAGGTCAGAAGCAAAGCTGTTTAGTGAGCAAATTCCAGAGCTTAGGACCTTAGATGTACAGTTGCCACTGGTACAGCAACTAAAATCAGGGATGATCAAGAGCTCAGAATTGGGGAAGCACCTATCTCAGAAGGTTATAGGGGTAGATGAGATTACAGAGATAGGGAGCAGTAAGGCCACAGAGGGATTTGCAAACAAGATCAAGAATTTGAAGTCAAGGTATTCCTTGACCAGAGGTCACAAAGGTAGGTAAGGAGAGTGGAACGTAGTACTATTTAGGTCACGATGGCAGAATATTAAATTATCTGAAGCTTACTAAAGGTAGAATGCGGGAGGATGGTTAGTATTGCATTGGAATAATCAAGCCTGGAGAGAGCAAAGGCACACATGAGAATATCAGCTGCTGATGAGTTGAGCTGGGACAAATTTGAGATGTAGCAGAGATGGAAAGAGTCGGTCTCAAAGATGACATGAAGTTCATTTCATGCTCTAATGTGATTAACAATCTGATTCAGTCTCAGATAGTTGCTAGAGTGAAGGATTTGGTCAGTAGCTAGTGATCAGAGTTGCAATGGGACCTAAAACCACTGGTTACAAGTCTTTCTACTACTTAGTTGGAAGAACTTATTGCTCAATATGGAGTAATAGAGTCCTACAGCACGGAGTCAGACCCTTCGGTCCGACCAATCCATGCAGACCATAATCCCAAGCTAAACCAGTCCCACATGCTTGCGCTTAGCTCATATCCCTCCAAACATTTCTTATGCATATACTTATCTAAATGTCTTTTAAACATTGTAATTGTACCCACCTGCACCACTTCCTCTGGAAATTCATTCCACATACAAACTACTCTGTGTAAAAAATTGCACCTTTTTTAAAATCTTTCCCATCTCATCTTAAAAATATGCCCCCTAGTCTTGAAATCCCCCACCCTAGGGAAAAGATACTTGCCTTTCATCGTATCTCTGCCCCTCATGATTTTATAAACCTTTATAAGATTATCCCTCAACCTCCTACACTCCAGTGAAAAAGTCCCAGCTTATCCAACCTCTCCTTATAACTCAAACCCTCCAATCTTGGCAACATTGTAGTAAATCTCTTCTGAACCCTCTCCAGCTTAATAATACCCTTATTACATTATTTACATCTGCTTCAAATATTTAACCATTCACTTAAAAGATGCAATGATTTCTGTCCCAAAAACTTCCTGTAACTAAGCAGTATATGACGCCATATTTTAAAAAAAGCCAACTTCATTTTCGGAGTCTTATAAACAATTTTAAATATAATCCTCTGCAATTACTCCAAAACCAAACTAAACTGACTTGTCTTATTCACTTTCAAACCCTTCATAACTTACCTGTCAAATTCTATTAAATCTCAGCTTATTCTTCACCTTTTAGAAGAAAATGTACTAGCTTCAGACATTTCACTTCGAAACTCTAGCTTCCTAGTCCTGACATCATCGTACTCTATGATTTTAATGCCCTTTCCATAATGGGGTCAACCAATGTTACTCATCAACTTATCATTACTTCTTCACTCTTTATGCTCCTTTCTAAAAAAAAACTAAAATTGTCCTGGTTCTTGTTAATGATTTATTTATCCCCACTCTTACTTTCAAGAAATTATACATTTGAATTCCTAAGTTTCTCTACTTAATTATATCCTTCCTTTCCTTACTAAGTCTATACTCCAAAAACTTATTTTTTATTCCAAAATGTATTACTCCATTTTACTTACATTAAAACTAAAGTTATGGTTTACCATTCCGCAATGATTCTTGTGATCCAATATGCTTGAGAGACTTTAACAATCTGCAGCAGGCACCTCTAAGCACAGGAGAAATCCAGTGTGAAGAAAGGCTGCCCAACAGCAGTATCTTGTCCAAAGACAAGATGTCCATCATCGATGCATCAATAACTTAAAACTAGACAAAGAGGCCTCGGGGTGCAGGTGTATAATTCCTTCAGAGTGGGGTCACAGGTAGAGAGGGTGGTGAAGAAGGCGTTTGGCACACTTGCCTTTATTGGTCAGTGCATTGAGTACAGGACACTGATAAGGCCACTTTTAGAATACTGCATTCAATTCTGGTCTCCCTGCTGTAGGAAATATGTTGTTAAACTTGAAAGGACTCAGAAAAGATTTACAAGGATGTTGCCAGGATTGGAGGATTTGAGCTATAGGGATAGGCTGAATTGGCTAGGGCTTCTTCCCCTGGAGTGTCGAAGGCTGAGTGGCGATCTTGCAGAGGTTTATAAAACCAGGAGGGACACAGATAGGTGAACAGCCAAAGCCTTTTTCCCAGGGTAGGGGAGTCCAAGGCTAGAGAGCATAGGTTTAAGGTGACAGGGGAAAGTTTTGAAAAGGACCTCAGGGGTAACTTTGTCACACTGAAAATGGTGCATGTTTGGAACCAGCTGCCAGAGCAGATGGTGGAGGCAGGTGCAATTATAACATTTAAAAGGCATCTGGATGTGTACATGAATAGGGACGGTTTAGAGAGATATGGGCCAAATGCTGACAAATGGGACTGGATCAATTTAGTATATTGGGTCAGCATGCATGAGTTGGAGCAAAGGGTCTGTTTCCATGCTATATAATTCTATGACTATGGCTCTATGATTATGACTAACTCCTCAGATACAGAAGCAGTCTGGGTCTTTGTAAAGTATGACCGGGATAACATTCAGCGTTGGGCTAATAACTAGCAATTAATATTGTCGCCACACAGATATCAGGCAATGACCCACTCCAATAAGAGAGAATCTGCCTTTCATCCCCTGACAATTTAGAGGATTACCATTGCTGAATCCACCACTGTCAAAATCAACATCCTGTCAACACAGAGGTTATCAGAAACTGAATACTTTGGCTACAGGAGCAGGTAAGAGGCTGGGAATTTTCTAGCAAGTAGCTCACATTCTGGCTCCCCAAATCCTGCCCATCAAGGCAAAAATTAGAGATGTGATGGATTACTCTTCATTTGTCTGCATGGGCGCAGATCCAACACTCAAGAAGTTCAACACTATCGAGGCTAAAGCAGCCCACAGGCTCAGCACACCATTTGCCAACTTAAACATTTGCTCCCCCCATCACCAATGCACAGTAGTAGCAACCCTCCAAAGCATCTTTGTGAGCACCCTCAAAAACCTGCAATTTCACCAGGCAGAAGCACAAGGAAAGCAGATGCATGGGAACACTACCACTTGCAGGTTCCCCTCTAAGCCCCATGCCACACCAACCTGCATATATATCAGTATACCTTCACTGTCACTAGGACAGAATTCTGGAACCCTCTTCGCACTAGGAGTGTCCCTGCATAAGATAAACTGCAGCAGTTCAAAAAAGGAGCTCAAATCACCACCTTCTAAAAGGCAATTAGGGATGGACAACAATGTTGATCTACAAAGAATGTCGAAGTGATGGTGCGTGAGTGTCATATGAGGAGAGGACTTGCTTCAAGGTTCCCACACTGTAATATGACTTACATTCAACCTCAAGGTTTACATGCTAATGGACACTTTGAAATGGGCCTGAAACTTACTGAACTGTTGATAACAATTCAACATTTTCAGAAGAAAAGAAAAACCTTCAAAGAAAATAAAGAAAAATTACAATCTTTACAGTTTTTGCAAGTAACACTGTATTTCTTTGAAACATTATACACAATGGCTTTGATTTATATACCAATAATGAGGCAGATCTTTTAAAATAGACTGCAGTAATATAACTACATATTTTAAATAATTTCAAGTTTAAGTTTATTATGCTGTAGAAAAACTAAAATCCCTTAAAATGGATTAGATTACCACTAGGAGGAGCTAAAATACCAATGGGAAATGGTTTTGTACAAGCTGCCTTTCTACATGCAGATTATCTCTTAGAATAACAAGGTGTCCATATAAAGGACAGTCATATTTTACCTACATAATTGTAAAAAGACTGACCAAACATATTTTCATCATGAGTAACTCTATGCCAAACCAAGCCTAACAGTTGTCCCTCTCGTGAAGCCTTCAAAAGGTCAGGAGAAATGTTGCAATAGTTAATAGGAAATCTTTCTATCATGAAAAGTATTTTTCATGGAAACTATGTTGTGTGTTTTGTATCAATCTTGAAAGTTTGCAGAACATAGTAAGTAGGTATATCTTGTAAGAGGGCCCTTGTCTCCACCTTATAAGCAGCCATGCTCTAGCTACCAAATAAAAATGATGAAAATTTATCACTCCCATTGACTGTAATCTACACTTAAACATTAACCCAAAGGCACTACAAATAGTACCAGAAGAAAATAGAAATTTCCATCATGGTAATCACTCAACAAATATAATTTTCAAGGCTTCTTAAATACATTTCTGCTAGGCTGCATAACACACCATGCTTTCATTAAGTAGGCAGAAGATGGTATAATTTCTAATGCTTAGAGTAAAATTAGA